GTCTCTTTAAATGCAAATGAGCTGCTGCTCCCCGCCCCCTTTTCCAGAATAGAGCTGCTCCATTACAGCTCGGACCTGCTAAAAAACATCTGTTTTAGATCTGTGTGGCAGCAGCAATATACATTAAATAAATCAATAAATCCACTGCTGTCTTGTCTCCTCTGAGGCTGGGACTCTAAATAGTGTTCTGTGCTCGTCAGTGCAGCCAAAGGCAGAACAGTTAGCATGTTTTGCTCAAACTTTCGCCATGGCATTAGAGCTGGTACACCGTTGTCGCTTGCGAAATCAAAATGGTGGTGCCATGGGTGGAAACGTGCAGATAAAGGGGCGGTAATATTTTAATGATATCCCTTTGCCATGTCACCAAGAGAGCGAAATCAGACACACTCGTTTTTTCAGACGCTTGCAGAAAAAGGCTTACCAAAACAAAGTTACTGGGTTAATCTTTTTCACGTTTCCTTGGTTGGTAGATGCACCGGGTTCCTGATTATAGCACTTAAAACCTGGAAAAGTCAGATTTTCATGATATGTCACCTTTAAGTAACAAATGCCACTAGGTTAAAAACTAACTTAAGATTAACAACAGTTTGTTCCACATTTTCAAACCATAGTTTGATCTGTGTGTGTGTGTGTGTGTGTGTAAGAGAGAAAGAAACATTGTTTCAGAGATAAATTTGACCTTTCCAGTTCAATTGGTCAGATTCAAGTGAGATTTGTCATTCCTCCATATGTGGGAACACACAAAAGAACAAAATGCCGTGCCTCACAGGACCACTGCTATATATTTAAACGTATATAAACATAGGTATATAAACATAAAACATATAACCTATATAAACCTACACATAGCTAACCTGTTGGTAATTTAACTATACATATACTTTACATAAATACTTTATATAAAACTTGAAATACTCGAAATATTGATTTTAGCTTTCACAGAATTTGTTTTTATTTTCAGGGTGGCTGCATCACAAAGCTGGAGAACTTCATTCTGAATCACTTGCAGATCATTGGTGCAGTGGGGGTGGGCATAGCCTGTGTGCAGGTCAGCCAAAGCACTGCAGTGTTCTTTTCATCTTTTGTCATGTAGTTGTATAAATGCTACTATATTTAAAATTTAAATATGAAATTAAAAGCATGCATGGGTACTTTTTATGGCTCTCTTTTTACCAACACTTGTTTTTCCGTACTTATGGCGCTTGTTGTTAACCATGTATTGGTCAGATATAAATGTATGATTATATTTATGACCTCTTAACCTGCATGGACAGTGTTATTATGTAGATAAATTACTAAATTTAATGGAGTAAAAAAAAAAGCCATTTACAAACATTCACAGTAGATCAAAAGTGCTTTTTTCTCATATGTTGTAACCGCATTCTAAGTAACATAGTCATTTGCATTTAGAAAGGTGTTTTGTAGACACAATTCCTGTATAAAGACTGTTTGAGTTGTGTATATATAGGATTACAAGAGTGTAGAACATCTTAATTCTTAGATTGCATTATAGCTGTTGTCAAAATTTTTGAGAATAACACAAATATTAATTTTCACAAAGTCTGCTGCCTTAGTTTTTATGATGGCAATTTGCATATACTCCAGAATGTTATGAAGAGTGATCAGATGAATTGCAATTAATTGCAAAGTCCGTCTTCATCATGAAATTAACTTAATCCCAAAAACATTTCCACTGTATTACAGCCTTGCCACAAAAGCACCAGCTGACAACATCATGTCAGTGATTCTCTCATTAACACAGGTGAGAGTGTTGATGAGGACAAGGCTAGAGATCACTCTGTCATACTGATTGAGTTACAGTAACAGACTGGAAGCTTTAAAAGGAGGGTGGTGCTTGAAATCATTGTTCTTCCTCTGTTAACTATGGTTACCTGCAAGGAAATGTGCAGTTATCATTGCTTTGCACAAAAAAGGATTCACAGGCAAGGATAATGCTGCTAGTAAGATTGCACCTAAATCAATAATTTATCGGATCATCAAGAACTTCAAGGGGAGAGGTTCAATTGCTGTGAAGAAGGCTTCAGAGCAACCAAGAAAGTCCAGCAAGCGCCAGGACCGTCTCCTAAAGTGCGGGATCGGGGGACCTCGAGTGCATAGCTTGCTCAGGAATGGCAGCAGGCAGGTGTGAGTGCATCTACACGCACAGTGAGGCCAAGACTTTTGGAGGATGGCCTGGTGTCAAGAAGGGCAGCAAAGAACCCACTTCTCTCCAGGAAAAACATCAAGGACAGACTGATATTCTCCAAAAGGCACAGGGATTGTATTGCTGAGGACTGGGGTAAAGTCATTTTCTCTGATGAATCAATCCCATTTCTGATTGTTTGGGGCATCCGGATTAAAGCTTGTCCGGAGAAGAAAAGGTGAGTGCTTCCATCAGTCCTGTGTCATGCCAACAGTAAAGCATCCTGAGACCATTCATGTCTGGGGTTGCTTCTCACCCAAGGGAGTGGGCTCACTCACAATTTTGCCTAAGAACACGGCCATGAATAAAAAATGGTACAAAAACATCCTCCGAGAGCAACTTCTCCCAACCATTCAAGAACAGTTTGGTGATGAACAATGCCTTTTCCAGCATGCTGGAGCACCTTGCCATAAGGCAAAAGTGATAACTAAGTGGCTCGGGGAACAAAACATCGAAATTTTGGGTCCATGGCCAGGAAACACCCCAGACCTTAATCCCATTGAGAACTTGTGGTCAATCCTCAAGAGGTGGCTGGACAAACAAAAACCCACAAATTCTGACAAACTCCAAGCATTGATTTATGCAAGAATGGGCTGCCATCAGTCAGGATGTGGCCCAGAAGTTGATTGACAGCATGCCAGGGCAAATTGCAGAGATCTTGAAAAGGAAGGGTCGACACTGCAAATACTGAGTCTTTGCATAAACTTATTGTAATTGTCAATAAAAGCCTTTGACACTTATGAAATTCTTGTAATTATACTTCAGTATACCATAGTAACATCTGACAAAAAGATCTAAAAACACTGTAGCAGCAGACTTTGTGAAAATTAATTAATATTTGTGTCATTCTCAAAACTTTTGGCCATGGCTGTACAGTGGGGTGACAGTCGTACTAACAAAATCTGTCAGTGGGGGGAAATAGGTTTTTGGCATCTATTTATGCACATAGTAGAAGAAAATCAAGCTGCATTTTCAAATATTTAGCAAGTGAACTCCTTGTTATTATCCCCCAGCTGTTATGATGAACTGTTGCTTTCAGTAGAGGAAAAAAATGGTTATTCAATACTTGTTTGGGTCAAAAAAAATGATCTAAGATAGTGATGAAAATGACATCCATATTCTTTTCTTTGTTTGGTATGAAGCTTAGTCTGGAAGCACAGCACAAAGTTGTTCAACCCTCAAGGATTGAACCAAGATTAAGTTTCATGAGCATTGCATGATTCCTGAAACTCGTGAGCAAAAGGTACTCGGATACATTTCAGAAGAAACAATTTTGGAAGTCAGACTATTTTAAAGAATTGAAAGAATAAAATAAGGCCAACGTGTAATGTAAAGATAACATCAGTTGCTGCACTTTAGTGACAAACGTCATGTTTAAGTGTTGAGTTCAAAGAATCATCCCAGAATTGTCGACATAAAGCAAGTTGGATGTCTTTCATCACCAAACATTCTTCTTTAGAAGTAAGTGTAAGTAGACAAGGAAGGAACTACACCATATAAAACTGCCCAGACATGAGAGGTAAGAGGTCATAAATGTAGTCATAAATTTACATCTGACAATACATGGTTGACGCATCCTGCCATGTCACTCAGGGTTCATAAATTAAGGGCTTTAAATCATAAATTTAACATGTTACATGCTATAACTGAGTAGTTCTGTCCATATTGTTATTTTTGCCATGACCATGTGTACATTTATGATATTGCTTGGAATTGTATTCATATCAGACTTTTCTTCTTTTGTGCATCCTTTCAGATTGTTGGCATGTTTTTCACCTGCTGTCTGTACAGGAGTCTGAAATCAGAGCCATACTGAAGAGACAGCTCAACTACAGCATTAATCAGTGACCACCATTCTCTACGGCAATTTTTTGTTTCACAAAAATTTAGATAGGAAATAATTAAAGGTTCTGCATACCATCAAATCAGTTCCAACTATCCACAGGCACAGACAGACATATACAGTAATAAATATAGTGTTTTATGATTTTAAACACATTAGGTATTACCGAGTTAGAAATATTGTTCTAATACTTTTTTGTAAGTGGCTTTATTGTTCTTATCAATTAACTTAAGTTTGGACTCTATTTTATATATTAAACTTTTTATGCTTCTTTTTTTTTCTTTGTATGTTTGTACTCCCAGATCCTCAATAAAACCTCTGCCACAATACCTTTTGTTTTTGGTCCAATTAATCCTGCTTTGTAATTTATGCACCACTAGCAGCACCAGACAGAATTGCAAAAATCCATTTCAAAACATACAGAAATGTCAATGACAAAGGTCTTTGATACAAAAAAAACATGTTGCATTTTATAAACTGCAGTTTTGTTTTTGTTTTTTTTTTACATTTACATTTACATTTAGTCATTTAGCAGACGCTTTTTTTTATTACAGTTTGTTCATTACTCTTCCTACAAATTTTGTCCAGTTCTGCCCAAAATCTGATCAGATGATCTTTGGATCAAGCCGCACAGAAATTACTGAATTTATGATAATCGCTGCCGTTCTAAATACGAATGCTAAATGGTTAGCATGCTAACAGATTGCCATTCTTTATAATGCGGCTCTTCAGCTATCAAGTGAAGTCAAAATTTATTTCTATAGCACATTTAAAAGCAACAGAGTTGCGCCAAAGTGCTCTGCAACAAAACACAAAGCATATAAAAAGCATTAAAAGGAAGCATGCATCACATGAAAAATAAGCACATCAGAACACTTTAACATCAACCCCTTATAACCTTAATTAAAAGCCAGAGAAAACAAATAATATTTGCGAGCAGATTTAAAACTGGCTAGTGAAGGAGCAAAACGCACATTTACAGGCAAACTATTCCAAAGTTTCAGTTATTAGGTTAACCATAAGCTATGTTAACATTAAAGGTCCCATATTGTCAAAACTGATATTTCCTGGCTTTTTTCATGATAACTGAGGTCTAGGTGCTATGTAACTACCATATAAGTTTCAAAACAGTCAATCCACAGTCAAATGCACACAGCCTGCATAAAGTAACTGTCAGGCACGTGCACACAGACATCAAGCACCTGCCTTTTTCTTCCTCAAGAGAAAGTGCCCTTTTTTCTTTTTAAATTTTAAGTTTTTTTTTTTATTAATGAATATGTATTATGTGTGCGTGTGTGTGTTTCTGTTTGCACACAGCTTTCCCTGTCAAACAAATAAAAAATCTAAATATCAGGTCGGGAAATGTTGAGACTGTCGAGTTCCGATGCCTTTCTCCCCCTCCGCGTCTCAACGCAGGCGCACAGCCAGGGCCGTCGCTAGTGGGGTGAAACGTGGTGACGATTATAGGGGCCCACGGCGATCTCAACCGACTGGCTGAGGCCACCCTAATGGCCAGGACACACCAAGCCGACGGTCAGTCGTTGGCCGACGGCGAGCGACGGTCGGGCTAGTAGGCTATGTTTGGTGTGTTCCTCTCGTCGGGCTCACGTCGGCGGCAGTTTGAATGTTTTCATAACAACATGAGCCGCTTAAAATGATGTATATCTGCGTTTATCTCATATATCTTTGTTTCGGTTTCTCCTTTTGAATGACGAATATATACTATTGATAGCTGCTGATATAGACAGTTAAGGCCGGGACACACCAAGCCGACTTCAAAGAATTAGCGGCGACGAAAGCCGACAGTGTTGTCACCTCACGTCGGCAGCGTTGGACCAAAAAGCTGCGCTCGAACACACCGCACAGACTACAGCCGACGGCCAACTAACACGTGCGTTCTGCGCATGCGTGAGAGGAATTAACTGTCTATATCAGCAGCTATCAATAGTATATATTCGTCATTCAAAAGGAGAAACCGAAACAAAGATATA